GGCGGGAACTCGCCTGTTACGCGAGCGTTCCGTTACCGCTGAGGGGGGGGAGGGGAGCGCTGACTCACCCGCCGCGCCACTGCTGGTGTGGGGGGGGGGCTCGGCTTTTCGCAACATGTCACAATATCAAAGTGCATGGTCAGTTTTACACTCTCAGAGCTTTTTCCCCAAAGGAACAGACTCCAGCACTCATTGCATAGTCTCAATTTTAAAGCCTCTTTGAAATTGGAAACCAATGCTGTACAACACGTTTTGATGAATTTCATTTTGAAAGGATTCTTCTTCTTTCCTTCAGGGATTAAGAGTCTTGAGCCTTAACTATGTTAGATGTGCTATTGGCTCCATCTTGTCTGATTCTCCATCTCTCTGTATACTTCTGTATAGTGTTAATGAATTAATTCTGTTGGGATGTATTTGCAAACACATGGAATGCACAAATATACTATTAGTTAGACATTCATCTCTTACAACTTTCTTTCAAATAATTTCATATCAGTAGTTAATTCTGGGCAAAGCACAAACAAATGAAATTTTATGCAGAATACAGAACTCGATTCAAACCAGACAAAGCAATGCACCAATGTCATCATGATATTTCATTCATGACTTTGCTGTGAAAAGTGTTCAATACCCTGAAAAAAAGTTTGCATTTAGATATAAGAATACACAACTCCTCCCATTAACATAGCAAAGAATTCCCAAACTCGTTCAATTACAGTTCTGAAGAAAGCCTTAAAAATTCTGCAATATATAAGCCAGTTCGCTTACTCATAGATCTGATGAAATGTGTTCAAAAGCCTACATCAGCTGCATACTGGTAATGATAAGAGGTAAAATTGTGATCGTGCTTAGGTAAGCATCAAAATATGAAGACGTATGGAGAAGCAGAGGTACAGCTCCACGTATTTTTCGCACTGGCACTAGGAGGTGGGATGTCAGCTTCACGCTTCGGCCACTTTAACCTTGTGGAAAGAACCCCTGGCAGCCATTGACTAGCCTATTGGATAGGCCACGGAGGATATCTGGACGCAGTGGCACAGAATAAATATTTGCCCCGACGCGGCTCGATCATTTTTCTTCACGGAACGTGTTTACCTAGCTGTTCCCTAATAACGGTTATACATGTGACAATACGTTATTAATAGTTGAAACTTATCCAGAATTTCTGAATTCTCACTTCAAAAATTTACCGAAATTGGCACATAATTCTATAAAAAAGAAAAGCCTTAGTTTGTATGGATAAATTTCAGCTCCACACAGCCCTTTATTTTCATAATGTATAGTATTTCTTGTTTAGGGAAAACAAATGTCATTTCAGTTCTCTCTATCGGCTGGAGAGTAACGCGCTTATCTGAATGAAATTTTCTGTAACCTCACTAAGGAAATAATCTCAAGGAATCTAGTCAGTAAGATAACATGGCTGTTACACAATTTGTAATGTGTAAAGTAGGTCTATAACCTCGATTTATTATGAAGTTCTGCTAAAGGATTGAAAAATATGATCGATTACGTATCAGACGCTCACATGACCAAAATACGATTATGTATGGAGAGACAGTCGAATAACTGAAATAGACCTATTTAAATGTAGGTGAGAAATGAGTGCTATATGTTCTTGAATACATGCTGTAATCAACCCATCAAGCCGACAAGGGTACGAATTTGTCGTAAATAATATTCTGGCATGTGGATCCGTTGCTGGGAAGTGACCGCGAGGTTGGCGGCTATACGGCGACCGTTGCAGGGTGGTGACTCTGCGAACGACGGCCGTTGCTAGGCCTTGTCTGAGTAATGATCACGTGGGCACCCCAACAGACACGAAAGCAACAACTGCAAAGCAACAGAAGAACTGTCTTTTCTATGCGGTCAGTGACGAAATGTTATAAGCAGGACAATTAGAGGTCAGGAGATTTATTGGTTGGTTGGTGAGTGACTTACTTAGATAACCGCTGGAGTTAAGTCATTGAACTGTTGCTGTGAGAAGCTGGTAGCTGAGGCCGGGAACATTTCGGGAAAGCAGACGAAGGGGAATGTCCGCCGTTGGAAACTGCTACCAAGCAAAGTCTAGTGAAGACTGTAATAGACTGAGTAGACCTAGTGTGTCCTACGGTGGTTCGTGAAGTATGTAGAAGAGTGAGAGCATAATCCTAACTTGTAATCACGCGTTGTATCAGAGTCCAATAAATCCGATAGCCAGCCACACTAAATCAAGTTACAATACATTCATATTACCTTACTTCTTTGTCTTAGATAGCATTCCGCAGAATCTTTTCTAACTTCTGCTCCAATTAGCTAGCAGCATTATAATTCCAAAAAGAAGTTCGGCGAAGAACTAATCTCCTACTTTCCTTTCACCACAGTTTGAGTATCTGATACGACAAAAGAAAACCTTAGCATGTATGCGTAAAGAAGTCAATAAAACAGTATTACAAATAACAATATAAAGGGCGGTAGTGTTGGTATTTCTAATGGAAGGGACTTACAAAGTAGGCCGTTGAGATGGACCCAAGTGGCATAATATACATACCAAGTTTGTTGGGGGAGGGGGTGATAACAATACAGATACACACATACCCAGCGAGGTTATCTCTTAAGCCTACATTTATTTTTACAAAATAAAAGAAGTAGGTTAAAAAATCTGTGCAAACACATTTCACATTTTTCCTCATATACCATTGTTCCTGACTACGTTACCATGGACACGAAATCGACTATTGCTCGGAAGACAACTGTTGGTTTTTGATTATACAAGCTATGACATAATCGGATTGGATAACAACTGTTGTGTAATTATTCTGCATTCGCCTGAGAGATGGCAGATTTCTAGTATCCCGAAATATATATATCACAAAAATGATCTACAAACTCTTAAATACAGTACAACAATTAAATCCTTCCGGGCGTTCACGCCGTTTTAGAGAAAACCGACATTTCCCGTTTGGGTCCCTCTTACACTGATCAATATTTTCCTGAAAATACCACAAATGCAGATTTATTTAGGGTCACTGTCTCCATTAACTACTGAACTTTAATCAAAATTGTAACAGGCTTTTTCAAGTAAACTGCCATTCTGCTATCTAGGGCCCATCTAAGAGCCTCTATTTTTGGAGTTCGAATGTTCATATTCATCGGGCACCTACCTATGTTGGATACAATTTTTACTACTGAATACGAACACAGTCCGTCTAAACGTTGAGACACTAACGAGGGAACATCCATCCATACATACATACGTACATGTACAGTATACATATGAGGCGTATCCACAAAATAAGTTCCGTTTACAAATGTTGCCTCTGCGGTCATTATGATGCGCATGCGTGCAGAGTTTGTTGTTCCTTCTGGAAAGGTCTTGGAAAGCACGGACCCCATTTGCAAACAATGGAACCGCGTTTACGCATTGTCCTGTGTGTTTACAATCTTCAAAAAAATCGAGAAGCCCATCGCATGTGAAATGCGGTCTGTAATCCGTTTACGTACACAAAGACAGACATATGGCTTTAAAAACACACTTTATCATATTCTGTAGGCTGAAGACACGAAAATCCGTCAAAATCACGAGAACGATTTTTTCATGGATATAATACTTTATCGTATTGTGTACATGGGAAAGTATAACATTGTGGACTTTTCGGTACATTTTTGCATGAGTGTGAAGCTTAGCCGACCGCCTCTGTGGTCTAGTGGTCAGAGTTCCTGACTACAGATCCAGAAGTCCAGGTTCGATTCCCGGCGCTACTAGATTTTCTCAAAAGTAGTAGGTCTGGAGTCGGTCACGGTAGCCGAGCGGTCTAAGGCATGTACTGTCTTTGCTCGCTTGGAAACCGGGATCGTGGGTTCGAATCCCACTCAGGGCATGGATGTTTACTTTGTGTGTGTGCGTTTTTCTGTGTTTGCGCACAGGTAGAGGCCTTGCTTGCGACGAGCTGATCAGCAGCCCAAGGAGTCCTAC